GAACGATTATGGGGCAATTGAAACATTTAGGCCAAAAAAATTCTTTTTTTTTACATTTATTCTATACCTAAGTATTTATCAGGTTTTTTAAGCAGACCTTTTACTTGAGATCCTAATGGTTTTTAAGTTTTTTTGGTATACCATACTGTTATTACATTAAATGGGCGAATAGTATTACAGATATATTTTTTAACTATGCTTAATCACTTGGAAGAGGCTATTTCTCTTTGTCTAGTGAGTGGATAAATTTATATTTCTTAATTTTCTTTAAAGTTTTACCATGAAATTTGTATAATAAACTTTTTTTTCTCTCATCTGGGTGGAAAAGTGGTTAGCGCTGCAGGGTATTTTTAAAGCCCTTACAAATTCCACCCAGAACTCTGTCACAATGACATGAAAACTTTAGCTTGCTGTAAATTTTTATTATTAAACAGCTTCCTAACCATAACTCTGTACCAAATAGAGAAGCTTTGAGAGCTCGTTGAATGGATACCACACTAATTATGTTTCGTTATCAACAATTACAAGGACTTATTAAAGCTTTAAAATAAAATTCGTCCAAAATTAGTATTTTTTCACGTCTTTCTCTTATTGCATGTTCCTAATAAGTATCAATAAAATTGATTATATACCTTTTAACGGAAAGATTCTGATTTATTTTAGATAAGTGTATTGCCATAAATATTCCTTTTTAAAGATTTTTTCGTATTTCTTGATGTATTATTATTATTATTCATATTTTTATTAGTTATTTTGTACATTAATGATCAATTAGTTAGTGTATTTATTAAACAGTTTTAATTACATGCTATCACCCTAGTACTAATTCCCTTAAGCCCTCTCTTATTAAATTTTATTGAGTTAGTGTTCCATTGCTTGATGTTTCAACTATTCCAGTTTATTAGATTTGCCGAGTTCCCGTGTGATAGTGCCTATAAGTCATGCTCCGCTTGGTGTTGCATCAGTTGAGAGATAACCGTGAAATGTAGCCAAACTGATTGTGGAATTAAGTCACTACAAAGCTATTAACAAGTAGAATAGAGTCCTTTCTTTAGCAAATAACTGGGTCCATAAAAAGAAGGAAGATTGAAAATGCTTCCAGATACTTAACCTAGTTCCACATGGCTAGTCGCTCTAGGATTAAACCCGGTTTTTTCCGAAGATTTATACCATTCTTCTTATATGCTAGTGTATCTCTAATTTTTTTTAATGATTTCTTTTTTACCACTCCTGTTTCACGGGACCTCTCTTAATTTGCATTTATTTCTTTTCATGAATTGTCTCTATCTTCTGCTTTATTTTTTAAGAGGGGTGCTTACTAAAGGCACTCTGTGGGACATGCTGATTTTCCGCAAATTGCAGGCCATGCTTGGTGGTCGGGTTAATCTGATACTCTGCGGAAGTGCGCCCCTCTCTCCGGAAGTGCTACGATTTACTAGAGTAGCCTTCGGCTGTCGGGTATGAGCAAGAAAATTTAAGAAAAATTACTTCTTATCAGTGAATATTTTTTTCTTTTTTTTCGGACTGCTATCTCATTGTCTGCCGGCTAGTAATGTCACCTTTTGTATCAATGTTATATCCGTAACTTGAATTTTTTTAATTAACTCTCCTCTACTTCACTTTCTAGTTTATTACTAATTTAAGGCATTTCATTCTTTGCGAATATCGAAGGGTATTCACTTGACAGTGCATTAAAGTTTTTTAATATTATATATATATATATATATGCTCATTTTCCTTCTTTCATGGATTTTAAGATGTGCATTGTACATTTCTCGGAGAAGTAGGTATTGCTATGTATAGGCTTTAATTTGAGTTGATTTATGGCCTAATTATACATTATTTTTGAAGACTTGGGGTATCCATATTTCCCTTTTCGTGTACATGTATTTATACATATTATAATAATTCCTTTACTTTAAAGCATTGATGGAAAAATACATTTCGCCTCTCCTGCTTTCCGTTAATACCATTCAATTCATTTAGAGACATAATTACGAATTTATTCTAAGATTACTTTTATGCAGGATTTGACCTTGAATTTGCTTCTTGCAAGAATCTATGTTAAAACATGGCAATTAGGAGATAAGCGAGACATATGCTCAGACTAAATAGCCTTACAATTAAAGAGGGATTTTTAAAAATTGTATTTTTTTAGTTTACAGTTAAAAATATTAACGCCTGGAAACACCCGCCATACAAAATTTAGATAGTAATTGATTTTTTTAAATCTACATCATTTCGGTTGATTAACGTTATTAGAGGGTTTGTTCGTTAAGCTCCCTTCAAGGTTTTAGAAGAACTTGGTAAATCCTTTAACATCCACCTTTTCAAAACCAGTATTTATGATAAATCATAAGGCTTTGGGTAATTTTGCGAACTATAAAGAAGCATACGGTAAAGGTTGGTTCTATTAAATTTTATAGTCTACGATTATGAGCGATTTGAGAAAGTACTTATTTTCGCTTTTATTGAAGCGCGCACTACAATGCATAACAGGGTCAACCTATTTATATTCTTTCTAAAGTTATTCGCCGTTAAAAATTTAATTAATCTACGTTGCTATTATCTCTAGATGAGTGCATTAGTTATGCTTTATGATTGGTTTATACTAAGAAATGTAACTGCTTTTTGAAATAAGTTCTAATGAAGCTGACTTTCTTCTCCTATCCGGAAGTGGGATAAGAGAATTTTAGGTTGATCACACCAGAATACGACTGCCGATTTCTCTTGGTCTGTTTAAGCTCGATTTTACTCCTGGCTTTAGATTGTAGATTCGAAGAGAAACTGGGTTTCGATGAATCTTCTGAGATTACATTGTTTGGGGTACTTTCATCTCGTATGAAAGTGCACGAAGAAGATATTCGTAGGTCGATCTTAGCCGAAGAGGACGGATGAATCCCGTTGTACTGCAGTCGTTTGGCTTTTATACGATGTTCAGGTGGACGCAGTCCACGAGACCTCTCTCATTTCTGGTGAAAACGGGCTAAGCTTTCGTTCATCATATGATGGACATCGGTCAGGGTTTATCTTGGGTCAGGCTTTGATGATCAGAGCCTGGCATTCGCTTTTTGATGACTGATTTAGGACCGGTATTTCGTATAGACGCTAACACACCCACGCACACAGTATAGAAAAAGTAACAGGACCAGTATGAAAGATAATTAGCCAAACCACTCTATCTAGGTTTTTAATTTTCTTTTTGCTTTATTGAGTCTATATAAGAGATAAGATAGAGTCGGATCGTCTTCTTGCCCTAGTGTTAACGTGAAACTTTTACAGGAATGAGAACCAGCTCTGATGATGTTCTTCATATAATGGACGAAAGCTCAGATCGTTTTCACCCGAAACAAGAAGGAGACCTTGTGGATTGCGCCAACCTGAACGTCGTATAAAAGCTAAACGACTACATTACAACGGAATTCATCCGTCCTCTTCTGGTAAGATCGACCTACGAATCTCTTCTTCATGCACTTTCATGCGAAATGAATGCCCCCCCAACAATGTGTTTAGACTGTTACATTGTCAGACACTTTCTTCAAAATTAAAATCTATCTAAAATTTAGAACTACTAATAAATTCAAATTTTATCACTACATTTAAATTAATACTGGGGCCTTTTTGCATACCATAAGTAAATGACACAGAACAACACGATTTTATGTTGATTTCGAAGGTTGGCCAGGTTACTTTTTTTCTTGTCATGAAACATTTATGAGTTGAGCTCATACAAAATTGATTCTCTTGGTTAGGATGCATTTTGAGGCTTTTTATTGACCTAATAAATAATGTGATAGGAGAAATCAATTTACATCTGCTTGGGGAGGCATAATTATGGTTGCCTTGAATATTTTGCTATAATGCTAAAATAACAGCTTTTCTGTCCACAATAAATGCAAAATAAGACTGATTTCTTAATTAAATTTCACTTATCTATGTTGGCCTCATCCTTACTTGGCTGCAGTTTCGACTTGTAAATTTGGTTTGCATCTTTAATAGGATTAGAAACATAAACATCCAAGTTACCTTAGGTCTCTTTATGTTTATCCACGATCATAACTGAAGGCAAAAAAGCCTTTCTTGGTTCACATCATTTTTAAAGAGACTTGCATCACTAAACATCTGCGAATATGTTATTGAATGCGGTAGGATAGTAATGTTTATAGTTGGCGATTTTTTTCTTTGAAACCATGTTTATTGTTACTGCTGTCAGTCAAATAGGAAGCACATAAATTGGTATATCACGACAATCTAAGCATGTTAGCTTCGAAACGATAAAACCGTTAATAAAATGCAAAAATAATAACTCTTTGTAACTTGTCTTTCTATCCATTTGTATTAGGAAGGTTAATTTTTTGAACCTCACTGTCGTCGTTGAGTTTTTAGTTTCATATTGATCCAATTGTTCCTCTCGCCTAGTTGCTTTAATAGCGTATGCTCAAGTTAGACAGATTTTTA